AGAACACCTTTAACAATATGCATGTATTTAGAGCATCCCCACCGGCTGATGTAGCAATGTAAAATTCTTCAAAGTACTTCACTCCATCAGCAAAATTTACATTTTTCAGACCCGCACCGATTGCCAATAAATTTTACAGCATGATGTAATCGCTCCATAAACACAGATTTCTCAACAGATCTGTTGGGTCGTTTACAGATCTATGCGATTGAGGTCCCAATGGACTTCCTTAAATACGTATGCCATCCCGACGTCCTGAAGCATGCCGGCAGCATTAATATGAATCTTACAGTCAATAGAATGTATGCAAACCCTGCTGCACTAAATTCTCCACTGGCGAGAGCTCCAAAATCTCAATCGCCAGCGGGCGTCCAACGCGAATTTGCTCCATCAGGACGACAATTTCCGCCAACCGATGTGGATTGGCTGTGAACTGATGTACTACTGTTACAGCACGCACCCAATAAACGGGTCTTTTCAGCGCTATGTTTATATCAGCCGGTAGGGATGCTCTTATAGATCCAAAAGCGTCACTTGGCCAGACGAAGCCATGACACCTGTGCATCAAAAGTTGTTTTTGATTAAGTCACGACGGATTGAGGTATGCTACTTGAAAACCTAAGTCTAACTGTTTCACAATGCGTGTAGATCGAATTTTGTGAGCCTGGGAAAACCTCCTTAGCGATCCCCACGCTACCACAGCTCAACTGTGGCGACTGGTCGACCTCGAGGAGGAGACATGTCAATGCCGGGCATGGTTCGATTCGAAGATACCATGCATCCATGCAGTTCGCTGCTACAATGCTGTTCGCTTGGATCCGTTGCAGTTCCACGACGACGTTTACACGTCCAAACGGTTCAAGTTGCTCTACGCGGCGCATGTAGTTCCAGTGCCACTCCAAGAACTTGACAACGACCCACAGTCGAAAGCTCGTACACCATGCGGCACTGAGGTGAACCCGTCGAAACCTGGACCGAAACCGAAACGACGCAAGCGGTCGAAGGGAATGCGAAATTAGCAGTGTAATAAATTGTATACATGAACCTCGTATGACTTCTAAATATTGATACATATATTTACCCATTTACGAAACAAGATCAACACTCCGATAGTGAAGTTCATACTTTATTTTGAAAGAGAATGATGGTTACGAAACAAACACGAAACAACTTATCCGGAACGATTAGGAGCTAGCTTAGGCCAGGGCCGGGAACCAGGCCCGTTCGCCCGCGCAGCGACTCAGTATCACAGCAATGATCTATATAATCCTTGGGAGCACTGGAGGCCGGGAGCGAAGCGAACCAGGCCGAGGAGCCCCCCTTATTTACCGGTTAATTAACCGGATGTTTCGTAAGTCCTTGGTATTGTATACTTTCTAGAATTGAGAAGTAATTCTAGAATTTCTAGTAGTTTGTTACTAATTCTAGTATTTAGTAAGAAGTTCTGTTAGTCCCAGCAGGATCAGACCGAATTTACATGTTTAGTCGAAGTATATTTGGTAATTTTGTAGCTAGTTATTACATTTGTACTTACGTTCTTGCAAATTATGCGTAATTCTAGTATGTAGAAGTAAAATACCTAGTAGTTCTAGCAGTTTCTAACTAATTCTAGTACTTACAGTTAGTAGAAGTTATGGTATTTCTAGCACTTCGTTTTAGTACTTAGTATAAGAAATTTGGAAATCCGTAGCTAGATATTGAGGTTGCACATGGTACTTATCTTAACATAGGTAGTTTGTTAGATTTTAAGAAATGCAGAACTTCTAGTCGAAGAATGTAACAAAGTTACACAACGCGTAGAACTTATCAACATAACCTTAAGACAAGTTCCGCACAAGAGCCAAAATACGGCGGGTCTTTCGCGCCTCCCGAGCAACCGTGGAATCCGGCAACACTGGAGGTGAAACCACTTGCGATGAAGACTGAACAATTGACGCTGGAGATGGGGAACAGTGGGCACTGGAGGAGCGCCGGTTGACGTAGCCTGAGAGCTCGTTGGCGGCCGAGTAGTCATCCCGAGTAATGATTGGTCGCGGGCTGGACGGTGGTGAGGATGGAGACACTGGAACGTCGGAATGGTCATTCGAACTAGTTTTTTCAATACGATCAAACATTGGTGCCAAAATCATGGTTGGATCGCCTCCGCTGTTTCGGCTCATATACATCAGTAGTCGCAGCATGGCTTCGTTGGTCGAGTTTGTACGCTCGACTCGTTCACCGAGGGATTCTTCGTCAGCGTCACTGTTCTCCACCCGTTCACTAGTCCACTTTGGTTGTATGTTGTTCGACTTTGTTGAACGTGCCGTCACTATAGCATCGTCATTGTCGTCAACAGGGCACCCCCACTGCTGTCGGATATAGCGATGAGGGGGTATGTCGGGATGGTGCGCCTTCACGTGGTTAGAAAGTTAGAGTACCACGTGATGAACCCGCATCCCTCAGCCATACACTTGATCCGAGCGGAAGTCGTCAGAGCCAGCACACAACCTGTTGGTTCAGGCAACGGACTCATCTATGAAGTTAACCGGATTTATTTATCCGGACGTTGATCCGTTATTCAAAATTCCCCCACAGAGCCCCGTTAAAGTCAATTGCAGCTGTACCACGGTTGCTGCCGGGGAATTAGTCTCACAGTGGTTAGCAATCGCTAACCACTGAGATGCTTGTAACCTCTAGCTAACATGCGTTGCTGGTGAATTAGAAATCCCACCATTATACTTATTTGTGCAACAAATCCTCAGTTCAGGGGTCCTGATTGGCTCTGACCGGTGTGATCGGCCAGATGGGCCAAAAACAGCCCATGAAGTTCAAGGGTGCAAATTTGAGATAAGATTCGCAGTCAGGCCGTGGAACTCATCTCAAGAGTGGAAAAAGTAAAACTTTGGGTGAAGAATTCGGAAATGAAATATTATTGTGCTTTTCACTCGTTTTGGCTAGTCACACCATAAACCTGGGTGTTTGTTACATCGACCCCAGTGTTTTAGGGCCTGGTCGGGGAACGATTACTTCATGTCTGGGTCCATCTATGTCTGTACGGATAAAATATATTCGGATGATGCACGATTTTATGGTCGGTGAACACAATCGTTCGTGCCTGGAATCTACTGTCCAATGCAGGCCAACCAAGTCGCTGTGGTCGCTGCAGCGTGTACGATATCGTACGTTTGTGTTGTGATCGCTACCATGCTAAACCGTGCTGCGGACAAATTCAACGTGTTCACTGTGACCACCGTCGATTTCGACTCAATGCTTGGCCAGCCGCAGTACAATCAGTGGTTTGAAACTAATCTACGTTGCAGCCAGGCCAGTTTTACCATGCTTGTCTCGTGGTTTCGCGTTGTCCAGCCCGACTTGTACAGTCGTAAATCCTCCCACTCGTTTGAGAAGAAGGTTGCCGTGTTGCTCTATTTCCTTGGCTCCGAGGGTGGCTACCGCGAAACAGGTGCTGCTTTTGGCATGTCAAAGTCATGGTGTGTGCAAACAGTAAATCACTTGATAACAGTTTTGGCTGCCCATGCTAAATCATGGATTAAACTACCACGTGCGGCGTCAGATTGGGCCCAAATTGAACTCGATTTTTTTGCCAAACAAAAAATCGCTGGCGTTGTTGGGGCTGTTGATGGGACACTGGTTGACATTTATCGGCCCGATGACTACGATGGCTTCTACAATCGAAATGGCGACCCTTCCCTCAACATCCAAGCTCTGGTGGATGCTAAGCTGCGATTTTTGTCAGTGGATATTCGTCCAGGGTCATACTCCGACAAAAAAATTTGGAAGACGTCAAAGTTAGGTCAGACAATTCGTGATAAATTATTTATTGGTTGTACTAAAACATGGAAATTAGGTCGAACAATTCGTGATAAAATACCAGTTGGCTCCTACATCATTGGCGATGCTGGTTACACGTTGCTACCATGGTTGATCACTCCATTCATGCCGCACGAAGAGGGTGGAAAGCTTTCGAGCATGAAAAAGAATTTCAATTTTAAGCACTCCAGCACCAGAATGACAGTTGAATGTGCTTTTGGTCGACTCAAGGAACGGTTTCGAATTTTGAAGACTGCGATGAAAGAAAAGACGCTTGACCGTACCGTTGCCGTCGTCACTG